TTTTGAAGAAATGATTTTTCACTTGTACAATTTAGTTTCCACACTTTTCGCATAAGTGTTGGATGTGTTCAGACCATTGGTTTCACTATGACTCCCAGGTAGCAGTAGCTTTCAACTTGTAACTCATTGAATCTGGCAACTAGCTACTTATGGATAATTCTTGAGGAGGGAGAAGAGGCCGTCTTGTTCTTGACCCCAGAATACACTTACACTTTGATTGATATAGAGCAAGATGCAATTTCTCAATGTGATATGCTATAGCTGTGATGCCCTCTTGTAATGATATTATGCATCCTTGATCGGTTTGGTAAGATGGAGATCATCTGCATATATACAGTGTTATGAGCACCATTTGACGGAGGAAGCTGGCTGATGATGATTCTCTACGTTTCTAGTATATAGCTTTTGCTTGCGGGAAAACAGGCATCGCTTGACAAAAGGATCGCATATAGCTACTCCGTCGACGAATGCGTGACCGATTTGTGTGAGTTTTATCTACCATCACAAGTAAATAGTTTAGTATCCCGTGCGATGATTGCAGGGCGGCGCGCTGTGGACGGCTGGGGATAATAATTATGTATCGGTAGAGAAGGACCCGCAAAGAATGTAGAATGCCTTGGTAGGCCCTGTAACTGGTATGGAGCCAGTTTGCTATACGCGTGTCACGTGAGATTGTTAATTGTCCACGGACGCTCCGAGCTAATTATATCAACGCATGCGCTATATACTTGGATGACGTTTGCGGATTATGCCCTTGCCCCAGAGCTCGGTGGGCTTCGCACTCGTGGCCGTGCAAGAAGACGCAGTGTCGTTATGGCACCGAGTACTTCCTTTTGCATCTGCATTTTAGCGTTGTTGACTCTGTTCAATCCTGGTCGGTGTGATTGCTGTGAATATTTCGACCATTTTTCATGTACGTCAATCTCTGAAACATTTTCGTGTCTACCTAGCTACCCCATGTACAGGGACCTTCGGACCTGCAATTAACATCTCGCTTGAGGGTTCAGCATACCTGAACATGATGGCATACCACATTGGTCCTTACATCTGCAATGACTATTATGTTTATTGGGAGATATTGAGAGATGACGGTGAAACTGAGGTTTATACTGTAGCAAACCAAGATGAGTACCATTATGGAAGATATGAAACTCTTGAAGACAGGGGGCTGAGTTTTGCTGGGTACTGTGACTTGGGCTGTAGTCCATCGCTGACAATCACTCCGACAGACATGAGATATGATGGAGCTCAAATCACTGGGGTGGTCAATCTTCCAGGGTGTTATACTGCTACAAACACGACCAATACAACTGTTCTCTCGATTCAAGGTTAATGATTTGGGAACGGTTGGTAGGAAAATTGTAACTTGCCAGGATAAGCATTGATCTAAATTTCCCTCTCCACTAGTTTAAAAAATGTTGTAAGTTTCCTGGACATGTAGCTAGCTAGCTAGCTATCTCTTACTCGGCTAGCCAGTTACTCATATAAAGTCAGTTGGACTATTAAAAAATTTTGTAATTAACTCTCAGGTCTGCTGGAGGCTCCCACAGATGTATACTATGCAGCCAGTAAAGACATTGTCGTAGTGTCATGGAGTCCTCCATTCACCCTGGAAGGAGTCCCCATACTCCACTACAGTGTCTATATCACCAGTCAGGGAGTCTCAGAACAGAGAAACACCACTGAAACACATATCTCTCTGGAGAGACCATGTGCCAGCACCACCTACCAGATCAGTGCATGGAATGAAGTGGGAGAGGGAAATGCTACCAGTACAGGTTAGACAATTTAACACATGCTTGACAATGCAATGGGTGTTTAAGATGTGTAATGATATGGGGAATACCTATTGAAAAACAGAATTCATGACTGTGATTGAGGCAGGTGCCAGAGTTACTTGTGACACAATTAATTCTATGACATAGAAATGATATACTATATGATATAGAGGAATGTAACACTTTGTAGGCTAGCGGTTCGATATTTCACGCGTGTTGTAGCGCATAATTAGAATCATGTTTAAGAATGCGGTAAGTGCAGTGCAAATGTGCATAATATACATTGACACGACCAGGTGAGCTAATGAATGAGGTGTAGCACACTGCACAAGTAAGAAGTGGGGGTTGGCTTAAGAGACCACCCACATACTATCCCAACGCTTTCGGTGAACATTGTGCCAGATTTATATCCTCATCCCTATGCTCTCCCGCAAAGAGCATATTGCAACAAGCGCTATTTCATCAAATGACCTTTGACCTTTGCAAGTAAGTATCGACAGCATCGTCTGCGAACTCGAAGTGTGTGACATAGGGCAGAAAGAATGGGAGAAAGGATAGACCGAATGAAGAGCGTAGGCATAACCAATGACAGGTGAACTAGGGCAGCTTTACGCCTACCACACAACCTTTCTAGGTTCTTGCGCTTGTTACCGAGCGCATTACCGCGAGGCAACTACTCCGGGTTGGATATGCGTACGTACGTACGTACGTACGTGTCGGTCACGCAAAGAATGTCAATTAGTCACGCTTAGGGAATGTAACTAGGAATGCGCACGCGCATATTTTGACTCGCGCCACCAGCCAATGCGTAAACTACGGTGGCTTTTAGGGCCACAATACCATCGCAAAACTTCCGTTGTAGAGACTAGTAGCTAACTTCCGTTCTAACCCTGGTAAATAGCTAGCTAAAGGTTCTAGCTGGCGGAATAGCTGAGGGTATACTGTTGCGGGGTCATGAGTACTCTCATTAGCTACTCTGTTCGCCTCGCATAATTCATGGTAAAAGGTCATACATGGTTCGCAAGAGTGGAGAGAGAGCCTGAATGAGCTAGTATAATAGCTACTGTAAAGATGCACTCAATATCTGCAAAAAACGGATAGTGTAGATCACTGACTCATGTTCTTGATGTGTCAGCAAACTCCACTGGATTAGCTTTGGTGCATATGGCTAACATCTAGAAAATACTGACTTCAGACAAGGCATGGGGGTCCTTGTTTGTGTAGCCATAGCTACCACAAACACAAAGCAGTATCCCTCTAGGTCTCTTGATCACAAGGTGTTTCAGATTAGCCTATAATCGAACATAGATGAACATTGAAGTTGGTTCAGAATGGAAGTCTGCCCAAAATGGAAGTTGGAGTCATTGGATAACAAGTTATACTAGGAACAACTTTCTGAAACCTTGTCCCAACGGGTATATAGATCTCAGGACCAACACGCATTATCTAACTTATGGAACATTGAGCTACAAGTGTACAGTAATATTAACCCATGAATCATGTCTGGAACAAGTAATACAAGAATATTTCTGGATATAAGTGACTTCATCTCAGCAGAATTCATGTACTCTAGGATCTGAGGATAATCATACAGTGGCACATTAATTCACACCACTTTCATAACACGTTTTAGACGCAGTAACACGCAATTGACCATCAGATTCCGAGTTTAGAGGTAACTTTTTGTTAGTTACCTCTTCTGCGGTAACTATTTCGAAGCCCTGCGGCACTTTTCTTATGCGTAATGGCAACCACGCCTTCAATTTGGAGAGACGCCGTGCTTCGGAAGGCAAACGGGGCTTCTGGAAAGGTTCTTTCTCACGAAAACCCAGGGTACTCGGTGTTCTAGTAGGAAGCGGTGCATGACTAGCTACAGCTCGAGCCAGACGCGCACGCACAGGCCCGCCTACTTCGCGTTAGCGAGCCGCACCGCCTAGAACAAACACTCTTTACTGCCTTGCTGGTATAGTCGTCGTTGTACACCTGCTCGAACTGGCTGCTGACAGCTGCAAATAGCCTGTCTACTTCCAGTTCGTCCTCAGCAAAAAGCTCCGGCCCCAGTAAGCTTTATGCAGCGTGCGTTGCTGTGCGTTGCTAGCGCTGTAGTCTAAGATGGTTAGATGCGTTGCCTTGGGAACTACACGATTTAGTAAACGGCAGTTACTAGAATGGAAGTCTCTACAATGGAAATTTTGAAGTTTTCTACGATGGTATTTGTGGCCCTAAAAAGCCACCGTAGTAAACAGTCCCGCTTGTGCGCGCGCTCTACTGACTGCACGCGAAGCCAGAATTCCTACGAATCTGCGCGCACGACGGAAGCTAGAAATGACGGAGTTACACTTCCTTTTGGTGACTAATTGGCATTCCTAAGCGTGATTAATCGACATTCCATAAGCGTGACTAATTGACATTCTTAAGCGTGACCGACTCGTACGTACGTACGTACGCATATCGCGAGAGTACAACCCAGAGTTGTTGCCGCACGCTAATGCTCTCGGCAATTAGTCACGCTTAGGGAATGTCCATTAGTCACGCTTACGAATGTCAATTAGTCACCAAAAGGAAGTGTAACTTCCGTCATTCGTAGGAAGTCTAGCTTCCGACGTGCGCGCAGATTCGTAGGAAGTCTGGCTTCGCGCGCAGTCGAGTAGAGCGCGCGCGCGAGCGGCCTCATTCGGACTGTTTACGCATTGGCTGGCAGGCGCGAGGCAAAATATGTGTGTGCGCATTCCTAGTTTAGAAAGTAACTCAGGGCAGTCTGTGCTATAGCACACACTATACCTGGGAGAATTCTTGTACAGCTTTCACCTGCTCCCTTCCTTGTCTCATAGAATCCACTAAGTCTTAACTGTATTTTGTTGCATTGGTGTTGTTTTTTCCTGCTGCTTTGAGGTTTTTGTGTATGTGATTTCCGGGAGAGGTAAAAAGGATACATGGCTTGTTGGTTTGGGTTCCAAACTTCAACCTCCTAATTTACCAGACTCTTTGGTTTCACATATCCTCGGCGCGCATGCGCAGCAAGGGTTACTGTCTGTCTGTGTGTCGACGCTTATTCTGGCACTAAAGGCTACGAGGCGGCCTATTAGCGATACCAACGGCTTCAGAACTACGCGAGCCTGAAAATCAAAAGGGCGATTTTCCTGAAACGACTGCGTTCGAGAGCGACAAACTGGCACGGTAGCGGACCGTGTTGCGTGGCCCAACCCATCAATAAGCGGTGCGCATGCGTGTATTAGACGCGATCAACGCGGTATGCTGGCTCACCCTGACCTGATCCGCTTGCTCTGTGTACCTTGGAGGCACAAGAAACCACAGCGAATGGCGTGTATCGTCTCCCGCATGCTATCTACTACCGTAGCTAGCCCGTGTCAGACTCTCCGCGAGCTACTAGCGCTGGTATGCGCCAGCCCGTCATTAGTGGTACCGCGCATGCGCAGTTCGCCGAGGGTTTGCACTTGTTACCTGTGGTAATGTTTCCGGAAGTTTGTAACTGTCTAAGCTTGATGAGTCTAAGAAACCTCAACCAAAATGCATTCTTGTAAATGGTAGTTGGTTCTCTCCTCTTGAGTTTGAGAGTTTTGCTGGGGAAAAAGCGAAGTGCATGGAAACAGTCCTTGCACCACCTTGCAAAGCCTTATCAGATTATTTCCTTTCGCTTCATCAGAGCCTGCCTTCTGTTACACAACCTGTTGTTGTTGTTGTTAGTTATACTGTTTCGAGGTCTGTTAGTGGCCCTATTTCTGCAAGTTTGCCTTGTTTGTTGCCACAAGTCAGTCAGTCAGAATCCTTAAACTCTTACTGCCACCTTTCAGATGCTGTGCAGGGTGACTCTGTCTCTGGAAATCACAGCCCTTGTTTACCTTGCTCTCATTCCGCTCTGTCGGTTTTCTGTGATAACACAGGTTTGACTCCTTTCTCTGGTGCTGTTAGGCACAAACCCTTGTTGGTCAACACTGTTCTCTCTTTTGTGGTGGCCTACCATCTTAAGGGTGACACAGACACCCCTTAAAAGAACTGTGGGTGAGCAGTTTTGTAATGATGATGTACTGGCTGCTAATAGGCTTTTGTGGGATCACTGTAGTGTTCTTGAGGCTAATGGTTTGGTGTTTCACGCACGTCGTGATTCAGACAATCGTAGTCAAGTTGTAGCCAACCTTGATGATATTATTGTTCAAGCATTTGAAGTTTTGGATTCATCTGACACTATTCCCACTATCTACTGTGGGGCTTCTCAGCACAGGATTCCTCCTCTGTCTCTTGATCCATTTGCTGAGCAGGTTCATTCTAACTCGCAGGTGTTTAATGACCTCTCCTCTGTAATTGAGGGCCTTGAAAAGAGACTTTCCACTTTCTTAGTTCCTTGTGCCTCTCCAGCTGCTGCTTGTGGTGTTCCGCCAGGTGTCAGTTATTCCACCGTGGCCTCTTCTCTCGTACAAGTCTTACTCCCCAGAGGTCTTCCTCTGCTGACGAGAATATAATCCTTTTTGGGTTGCCTGAGGGGAAATCCCTTGTAGAGTCCAAGAAGGTTGTTGATGAAATATTAGAGTTTGTTGCCGGCAAATCAGTTCAAATTAAAGATATGTTTCGATTAGGTAAATATGTACGGTCGACTGCCTCCTTGTCTCGTCCACGTCCGATTCCAATTAAGTTATGCACTGCTTGGGATCGAAAGCTTGTTTTACTTCAGAAGACTGCATTAAAGGGCTTTCGTATAAAGCACCTGTTCTTGCGTGAGGATGTGCCTCCTGATCACAAATTGCGTGCAAGGAAGCCCATTGCATCTCCTGAGACAACTCCTTCTGGTTACCCCTCTGTGGGCGCTCCTGTTAGTTCTGTCATCCACAAGCTGTGCTGTTTCAGCTGGTCCAACTCAAGCACTCTGCAAGCAGTGCCCAGCGCAGTAGTGTTCTGTCTCACCAGCCGTGTTTGAAGCTTCCTCTACAGTGCCCTTTGCCAATTGGTGGTGCTGTATCTCAACCTCCCTCGCATCCTTCTTCATCCTTTTCCTCTCTGCTCAGTTAGCTCCTAGGGTCATGATGATGGCTCAGCTTAGATCTTGCTCTTTTAATTGCAGAGGCTGGAATAGTGTGTGTACATACTCTTA